CCCCCCCGTGTGACCTTCACAAGCTATATTTCCCCCTGCGACCTGCTAAGCCTGGTCAAGCCCTGCCGCGATAGAGCGGGCAGGGCGACCCCAAGCCGGAAGTTGATTTTCAGGTTTTGAAGTATTGCGCCCGTTAAGCCATGTGTAACTTATGTTGAGCAATATGGTTGACCAAGGGAAGCCGTGGGAGCGCAGGCTTGTCGAGCCCTGCTGCGATACAGCGGGCAGGGCGACCCCAAGCCAGAAATATATTTTCAATACGCACTCATAGACGGCGGTTTTTGTCGCACGCAAAACACAAGCACACATACATACATACATACATACATACATTCATAGACAGATACACGCACAGATGCATGCATTCCCCCTTCCATCCATCCATACATACATCATACATGCATGCATTCATGTATACAGGCGTGCATACATACGTCATCCAAGCTAAACATAATGCTAATAGTGAACTGCTTCTGGACAAGCATCGCTTGCATCGTGGTGTATTCATAAGCGTGACATCGAATGACCGTAGTCCCGGTCGCATGCTCACACACACACACGTACGTATACAGACGCAGACATACATGCATACATGCTGACTCACGTGCGCGTGTAACATAAGCACGCGCATGCATACCCACTCCCCTTGCGCCCGCTCGGCACTCGCTCCACCCTTCCGGTTCTCGCTCGTGTCGTCGCGCGCGCCCGGGCTTGAGGTTTCTGTGGCGCTTGTGCGCCAGCTAGTGTGGGGGGGGGAGCAATGGTCACCGGCCCGCAAGAAGGTTTTCTAAGAAAAAAGCCTAAACCCAAAAAGAGAATAGATGGGGTTCGAGGTTTTGAGGTTTGAATTGGTTTTTTACGGCTGGCCACGGGTTTGGGCTTCCTTAAGCACAGTTTATTGTGAAGTGGACCGATTTCGGGCAAATCTGAAGGAAAAAATCCGTTCTGAAGGCATCTAGAAAAGGGTTTTGGGGTTCGAGGTTTTGAGGTTGGTTTTGACGGCTGGCCAAACTCTTCGGCGTTCCGCATGCATACATACATACATACATACTTTGACAGACGTATACATACAGGCACGCTTCCTTAAGCTATGTTCAGTGTGAAATGGATCGATTTCGGGCAAATCTGGGGGAAACCCTGTTTGAAGGCCTCAAAGGAAGGTTTTGGGGTTCAAGGCGAACGCTCTCACTGTCTGCCTGCGCGTTGCGATGGCCTCTTTTTCGGCTACGGCGATTCGGTCTTTGCGGCCCCACTGGCCCTGCACTTTGTGGGGAAAGAGTTGGCTTCTGTGCACTACCAACCCGTGAAACGACTCGCGCTTCGAAGGCAGCCGGCCCTTGTTGCTGTCACTGTGCTGGCACAAAATGGGCCGGGCGCACCTTCCCAGCGATCAAATAGTGGGCGGCCCGTTCCACCCGCGACAATGCCACGTAGGCTGCAGCGCGGCACCCGGGCCTGTCCAACCACAGGGTGATGTGTGGCACTGTAGCACCTTGAATTTTTTGGATCGTGGTAGCGTAGCCTAAGCGGACCGGGAAGCAAGTCACGTTTCCGTGGCCCTGAACTTCTTCTGTGTAGAAATGCACTGCAAGCATCTTCCCCATCTTTGTGATCACTGAAAGGCACTGGCTTCTTGGGTCATAGTCGTGCACGATGGCGGACATGCCATTCACAAAGCCATTCTCCTTGTCCAGGTTCTTGGTCAAGAAGAGCCGCTCGCCTTGATATACCTGAGTCATCTTTGGGTGCAACTTGCCCTTCTTGAGGCTCCCGTCGGCAAGGTAATTGTCCGGGTTTGTGTCGAAGTCCATCGGGATTTCGCCGAGCGGTTTCTTGTGCCGGTCTTCGAAGAGCACTTGGATAACGAGCTCGTTCACCAGCCCGCTGGCTTTGCGGGTGCACGTCACGATGGTGGTTCGAGGTTGGTTGCGCAGTAAACACAAGATGTCCCACGCTTCAGGCGCGTGGCTAGTCCATGCCCTGTGCCCGCGCAAGATCTTTTTCAACTCACGCTTGCCGGGAATTGCAGTTCGCAACAGGGACAATGTCTTTTGCAGTTCTGGGTCTTTGCACCGGACTTGCTCTCGAAAGGTAATGGTGCGGACATTGGATCTCCACGAAGGGCTTTCGTCGCAGCGGCGTGCATTCTTGTCCACCACCGGCATCTGCCAGAAGTCGCCGGCCAGCAAGATGCAAGGTAGTTTGTCAGCAGCGGCCCACATGGCAATCACTCGCTCGAACTGCTCTGCTGTCAGCATTGAAACCTTGGAGCGCGAGCGTTCTTGCGGATCGCGCGGAGTTGTTTGAATCTCCAACTCCTAAGCCGTCTTTCTCGATGTTATCTTCGTTTAATAGTTTGATCCCTAGCCCGGCCTCATCCAAGATGATGAGGTCATATTGCGTCATGGCGCCCAGCGCTTCGGAGAGGTCTTTGTGAAAGAAGAGCCCGCCATGGTAGGTGTCCACATCGATGTTGGGGTGCTGGGGCTTCATCTCTGCTGCTAGCTGGCCAGTGGGGACCACGAAGAGTGCGCGAGCACCTCGAGCTTCCCAGCGCTTGATTTGATCGTGTAACACGAAGGTTTTGCCGGTACCTGGGCCACCGTTGGCGAACAACATCTTGTTGCTGTTCTGGGCTTCAACCGTCAGTTCTTCAATTTCATCATCGCTGGTTGCATTGGCTGCTTTCAAGGCACGTTGCATTGGCTCCTTCATGGCCTCGCGAAACTTTTTCTGTGATGCTGTGAGACTAATCTTTGGCTGCTCGGCCTGCTCATCTTCCCATTCTTCGCAGCTGCTGTCTGCTTCCACCATGCCGTCGAGGTCAACTTCTCCGTTGAGGCAGCTCCAAACCAAGCTTCTTTGGGCCCGAACCTTGCTCAAGACAGTTTTGATCATTGCTTGACTATGGGCCTCACAATTCCATTTGGCTTTTGATGGAATCATCGTTGCCCCAGAATTCGGGAGCCACGTGCAACGCCATGGCAAAGTACCGGTAATGTGGAGGCACCTGAGCTGCAACACCGGCAAAGGCCTTTGTCAGGTCTTCTACTTCGCGAAAGGGCTTGTGCAATACCAGCCACTGGCCGAAGTAGCGGTCATTGAGCATACTGTACATGCTGGCCGCCACCAACTTTTCGGCTTGTGGTTTGTAGCTGTTTGCATACTCCTCCACTTCTGGCAGCCATACGTCCCACTCACCCTCCACAAACTCTGCTAGTGTCCCCAGCGAGGCATCCGCTTTGAGCTGTCGCTTGTAGTGCTTGATGAGGTCAGTGCTCTGCTTAGCAGCCTCCTTCGGCGGCACCTCCGCATCGATCATGGCCTGTTCGACCATTTTGGCAGCATATTGGAAATGCTTTTCTTTGATGTGGCGCATGATCTCTCCAGCTTGGTTGCTCTTCCGGAGGAACTGAATGAAGGGCATGTCGTCGCTGCGCCATGTTGCGTCCTCGTAGTTCTTCAAGAGCTTTGGCTTGTTCTCCGTGTCTGGCAGAGGAACGAAGAATTCTACCAGCGACCCCTTGTAGTCTACTTGGGGGAAGCGCTCTTGTGCGAGGGTCAGCCACATCTCTGGCTCCAGCGGATGGTAGCTAAAGAGAATGCGCCGTGCCACGCTGTAGTCTGAAGCCTGCTCGTTGAGCCATTCTTTGTCCATAGAATCACTGAACTTCAGGGAGTAAGTCGCAACGTACCGAAGCACGGCACCGTTGCCATCTGGCTGCTGAATGTCTTCGTGGCACTTGGTGACTTCCATTGTCTGAGGGAAGTATGCTCGCACATGCCGCTCGTGGTCTTTAGATGTGTGCTTGAGTAGCACTTTCTGCGTCTTCTCATCAAATTTTGACTTCTGCTTTCGAATTGGAATCTTGGAGCTCGTGCGATCCAGTTGACTATCCATGACTAGTCCATGCAACAACGGGTGGCGCTCCTTGTTTGGCACATGGGCTGAGATTTTGCTTTCCAAGCCTATGTCTTTGATGTTCTGCAAAAAGTCCAACGAATGGCTATGTGTCGTCCCTCTTCCATGGTAAGTTCTTGTGGCCTTCTTTCTTTTTCCATCTTGGAACTCAAGGCGAGTGACACGGCTGATCACGGTCTGGACGTCTTTGTCTTTGGCGGGTCCAAGAAGATGATCCTTCCATGTCCGGTCAGCACGGGCAGTTTTCCCACGAGCTCCAGCAATGAAAGCCTTGTCCAGCTCGAGCAAGACATGTGCTTGGTGGAGCGTTTCTGCTCCTGCCAAATGCATGCGAGCACGGCCGGCCACCCGTTGTTCATGCATCACCCATTCGTGATATGGAAATGTCGTCTCATAGGGTGCCCGGGTGTGGAACAAAGTTGCATTGCCGCACTGACGTCGCATATCTATCACGGCCAAGTGTCTGATGTGCCAATATTGTGGGGCCCACGGGCAGCCAGCCAAGACCACCCGGAGTGGAACTTCGAACTGTCGAGCTATGTTCTTCTTGGTCCCCACCGTAGTCCACATGCTGAGGTCATAAACGAAATGCAGCAGCTCATAGTCTGTGCCATATCCGATGACCGGCGAAAGCACCTTTCGAATGAAGCTGCGCTTGATTCTGCCCATCTTGCTCTGCTGGATGTCTGGGCTAGGTCTGCTGCTTTCGTTGCTGGTTTCCGTGCTGCCCTCGTCGTCTTCCTCTTCAGAATCCACGATTTGGCGCTTAGCTTTGCGCTTTTTCGCCTGTCGGCTTTCATGCGAGGCTCTTGCTACCGTTTCGCAAAGGTTGCGATGCCAGTAGAGGTGGGGCCATAGTGCACACTCCAAGCCTCATTTTTTCCGATGGCATTGGGGAACAAAGGGTGGTGCTATTTCAGTGGTGTGAAATAACAAAAAGAATAAATGTGCCTCAGGCAAGTTTTCATGCAAGCAACCTTCTTGCTCGATATAGCGCAGCGGTCTCTTGCGCAGCTTCTCCTCGGCATCTTTCCCGTGTCTATGCAAGAATTCCAAATGCTTGTCATAGAACGCACTGTAGTCGCTATCTCTGCAGCTCAGGAGATGATTCAGAGCTGCTCGAGCTTTTCGTCGACACTTCTGGGCGCCCATGCGAAAGAGATCCTGCTCATGTGCACCCGATATCCGTAATCTGCTCGTACGGCTGGGCCTCGGAAAGCAAGGTTTACTTCGTATCTGTGTTCTATTTCTATCATGTCTGCTGAATGAATTACAAACACGTGTTTCGCCCGCCCCGCCTGTGTTGATGTCGAGCAGTCGCAAAGCTTGCAAGACCTCCGGTGCCAGGTTGCGCAAAACTGGTGGGACATCCTCCAACGCAGGCACGTACTCTTCGTGGCGGCAGGCTGTGCACTTTTTGGGCGTCATGGTAGCCTTTTTCACCCGTTTGAGGTCCATCGGCTCCAGATTTTGTGGCTGCAGCGAATGACATTTACTGCACATGGCCCAAGATCCTTGCTTGCACCAAGCTTCGAGCATACGAGCTGTTGGATCTTGTGGGGCGGGCAAGCCACAGTCGTTGGTCGCAAGATCGGCGATCTCGCCAAATCGAGCTCGAACTTCTGCAATTTCTTTTTCCTCTTGTTTTCGGGTGCCATGCTTGCCTTTGTGCTCCGGGCACATAACTTTTCGTCTGGCTCTTTGGCGATCTTTTCGAACGGCCTGCTCATATTCGATCTGCTCTTCTTCTTCCATCGGTGCTTTCAATGGTTTTCGGACTTCGAGCAACTGCTTCCATTCCTCTTTTGGTTTGGGCGTGGCCTTCGCCTTGGCAACTTTGGATTTCATCTCTTGAGCCATTTCTGGGCCTTGCCAGTTTTCTATGTTGGTCAAGGCTTTGAGTCTATCTTCCTCAGGCAACTTCCTCAAAGTTGGAACGACCTTGGGCCGGTCGGACGCATAAGCCTTTTCGAATGCCTCCACGCTGCAAAACATGCAGTGCTTTTCCCCTCGCTCTGGATGAATCCTGGCAGCTGTGCCGAAGCGAGTCGTTGAAAAGGTGCAAGGCTTACTTGGCATATCCGGACATAGCTCGTTGGGCCTAGGCTTTCGCGCAGCCGGCTTTTTCTGCGCAGCTCGACCTTTCGCCTTGGACTTGGCACTTGCTTTTTGGCTGGCAGGCCTTTTCTTGGGCTGCACCGCCAACTCCTCTTGCGCTTCTTCGCTACCAGCTTCTTCCACCCAATCCTCGAAGGGCTCGGGCTCAAACATAGGAAGTTCATGGTCTCCGGCCTCACTTTCATTTTCCATTGCATTCAAATCACCTTCGTCCATGTCTTGTTGATCGATAGGACCACCAGAATGATGCAATTCACCCGCATCTAATTCTATCTCAGCTTCTGCAAGAAGTGCCATCTCTTCATTGTCGTCGCTATCCATGCTGAGCACCGAGCCCTCTGCAGCAAATGCATCCGGATCTTTCACCTGCGCACCAAACTCTGCCGCAAAGTATTCTTCGTGGATTTCTTTTGGCAATCGACGTAGGGCTTGTTCACGAGCGGCCTCTGGCATACCACGAAGAAGTTGTCCTAGCCGGGCTCGACCTCCTTTTGTTGCACATGCTTTCTCCAAATTCTGTGGATCGCACCAAACGCACCGAGTCTGTCCGTGTTTCGGCTGTGTGGGGCCACCAACTTTGGAGAATGTGCACGGTGTGCCTCCATCGGTTCCACAACACTGGCGCGGCATGGCCGTTCGAATTGAAGCTCGAACTTGGCAGGAAACTCAACAGTTGATATGCCAATGAATCGATTGAACCCATATGTTCGTATTGCCC